GTCCTCCGCATTACTGGTGAGAAAGCTGATATCTAGAACAGCGATTTTTGAACCAATAGGCCACAAAAATTTTTTAAACATGCACTACCTGACAACTTAGCCAGGGGCACTGACCTCTTTTCCCTAGATTGTCAAATAAAAAAATGACAACACAACAATAGCCATCTGGTGTGTGTGAATGCCCTGTCTTGAACCATAAATATAGGTCATATAATGGAGTTGCATCTTATTGGTCATGTCACATAATAAGGTTGTGTCTGATTGATTTTTTTTAAAAATTGATTTGTGAGAGAGTGAGAGAGTGAGAGAGAGAGAGAGAGAAACATCAATTTGTTGTCGCATTTACTTATGCATTCCTTGATTGATTCTTGTATGTGCCCTGACTGGGGATTGAACCCGCAATCTTGGTGTATTGGGACAACACTCTAACCCACTGAGCTACCCGGACTGGGCTAACAGGCCAGGGCTGGTTAATTCTTGATACCAGAAATCCTTATAAACAAGTATAGGTACCTGATTTTTTAAAAAGTCACCTTGGAGCCAAAAGGGCAGTAATTACTTTTTTTTTTTTTTGTAAATCAATCAGAATTATACCTATTTTTTGTCAGATCGGCATAAAATATATTTTTTGGAATGCCACAGAATTTTAGTAGTATAATTAGCTTATGTGTGTCATGAGATGAAAAAGGTTGAAAACCTCTGTTCTAGAGAGAAGTGAAGGAACCCACTGTTATAGGACATCTATTGTTAATAGTGTCTTTACATACTTTATCTCGGTTAATCCTTACAACTCTGCTTCAGAGGGATAGGAAATGTGAGAAGGGAGGTCAGCTGACATGTTTCAGGTCCATAGGAGTAGGATGGACTCGGCCTCCTGTCATTGTTCTCTGACTGGTTCAGCCCACTTCTATAATGCTAACTGTATTAGCCTGCTCGGGCTGCCATAACAACATGCTACAGACTGGTGGCTTAACCAACAGAAAGTTAATTTACTTTATTATTATTATTTTTTAATCCTCACCCGAGGATATTTTTCCATTGCTTTTTGAGAGTAGAAGAGAGAGGGAAAGACAGAGAGAAATATCAATGTGAGAGAAATACATCCATCGGTTGCCTCCTGCAGGCACCCTGAGCAGGCCTGGGTCGGGGAGGAGCCTGCAACGAAGGTACATGCCCATGACAGGAATCGCACCCAGGACACTTTGGTCCACAGGCCAACACTCTCTCCACTGAGCCAAACCAGCTAGGGCAACAGAAAGTTATTTCCTCACAGTTCTGAAGTCCAAGATCAAAGTGGTTTCTCTTGAGGCACTCTGCTTGGCTTACAGGTCTGCCTTCTCACAGTCTCTCCTCTGAGCTTGCATCTCTGGGTCTCTGTGTACAAATCTCATTGTCTTGTTAAGGACTCCAGTCAGATTGAATTAGGGCTCACCCTAATAGCCTAATTTTAACCTAATTAACTATTTAAAAGCCCCATCTCCAAATACAGTAATGTCCCAAGGTGCGGGGGGGGGGGGGGGGGGGGGGGCTTCAACTTCACAACAGTTCTAGGAGGTGGGGATTAATCATATCAGCATTTCAGATAAAGAAAGCAAGACTTGTCCAGCTGGTGTGGTTCAGTGCTTGAGTGTTGACCTATGAACCAGGAGGTCACAGTTCGATTCCCGGTCAGGGCACATGCCTGGGTTGCGGGCTCTATCCCGAGTAGGGCGCATGCAGGAGACAGCCAATCAATAATTCTCTCTCATCATTGATGTTTCTCTCTCTCTCTCTCTCTCTCTCTCTCTCTCTCTCTCTCTCTCTCTCTTTCTCTCCCTTTTCCTTCCTCTCTGAAATCAATAAAAAATATATTAAAAAAAGAGAAAGAAAGCAAGACTCAGTAAGGGAAGGGTACCAATTTAATGAACAGCAAAGTGAGGATTTGAATTCACTACTGCAAAGTCAAAACTACACATACTTCTCACTTCTGTGTGCTGCCTCTCTGTTCCCATTACATATGACTTTCCCCTCATTTCATCCATAAGTTCTGGGATGAATCCATAGATGTGGGTTATATGGCTCCTGAGGAACTTCAATTCTCTAGGGAGCTCATGTAAACATTTGGAATAAAATATCCATTTAAAAATTTTTTTATTGATTTTAGAGAGAGGAAGGGAAAGAGAGAGAGAGAAACATCAATGTGAGAGAGAATCATTGATGGGTTGCCTCCCGCACGTTCCCTGACTGGAATTGAACCTGCAACTTGGACATGTGCCCTGACTTGGAACTGAACCCACCACCTTTCAGTGTACCGGATGATGCTCCAGCCAACTGAGCCACACCGGCCAGGGCTAAAATGTCCATATTTAGTTCTAAATACTATTTTTCAAAGTACAAATGTAGGAAAAGACTTCCTCCATTCAATTCAATTCTTCACTGAACCGCTTGGTTAAGGAGGTGGGGAAGTGTTCAGAGCCATAGCCACGGTTCAGGGCAGCAAACTCGTCTTAACCCTGTCCTTTATGCCAGCGGGTAACTGCAAGTGAACTACCTGGCTTCAGACTATGGGTTGATTTTATTCTCAAGAGCAATGAGTAATTAGTCAATTATCTTTGAGTTAGTTCTCTGGTCTGGTCACAGATTTTCTCTCTGTGGGTAGGAAGAATACTACCAGTATCCAAACTGAATATGAATTATTAGCATCTTCAAAATCAGCTGAGATTCCTGCCTGATGATCCACGTAGCAATTTTAATTGATTATTTTTTCAGACAAAGTGACTGCCTAGCCAACTCTAGGATTAGTTTATTCTGTTCACAAGTGAATATAAGGAACTTCTTAGGTCCTTCCTCTATCTTCTTCCTCTTTCCCTGTTCTCTCTTAAACTCTGACCCAGTTGGTGGAGGTCTGATTCCTCTCAGACACACCTCTTCTCGGGGAGTGGAAAGGAAGGTGAAAAAAAACTAGTAGTTGCTATTTACTGAGTGTTTTCTGTGTATCAGTCAAAGACTCCCAGCTTGTCAGTGGTAGAGCTGACATTTGAACTCATTCCTGACACCAAAATAGGCCTTGCTTACACTCAGGTGCTGTCCAGTCCTGGTTTTCAGGCTCTTTCCCCAGGGCTCCTTCCCTGTGCTGCTTCCTCTGCCTAGAAATAGTCTTTCCCCTTTACTGGCTGGCGAACTTTGATTTCCTTTAAGAACAACTCAAAACTCATTCCTTCCAAGCAGAATTAAATATCCCTCTGTGGGGGTTACCCTAGAACACTGACCTTCAAACTTTTATTGACCTCAACTCACAATAAGAAATACACTTACGTGGGGGCTTACCTGGGGGGCAAATGGCTGGGGGGGGGGGGGTGTCAATTGGGGAAAAAGGAGACATATGTAAAACTTTAGACAATAAAAAATAAAAAAATAAATACATCACTAGGATATATAAATAATTAAAGTTCAAAATTTTCATGAAAAAATACAGTGCATTCTGATAGCTTTAATTCTATTTAATTTTTATAATATACTAATTTTAACCCACTTAAATTGATTTCATGACCCGCTGAGAGTTGGGGTAACTGGAAGAGGGTAAGGGGGGGATAAATGGTGATGGAAGACTTGACTTGGGGTGGTTAACACACAATATAATATACAGATGATATATTATAGAATTGTACACTTGAAACCTATATAATTTTATTAACCAATATCATACCAATAAATTCAATAAAAAAATTTTTAAAAAAGAAAAGAAAAATTTTCCTAGAAGACAGTCTTTCTTCCCTTGACAGCTTTTGTTTCTTTTATCTCTGAAGGGCTCAGATTCTCTGGCCCCTCAAAAAGATGCACTGGGGCCCAGTTCTTTGTTGCCCCATCCTTCTAAGTTGAAGTTTCATTTTGATCTTATTTATTTTTCTAGTGTTGAAAAGTTGGCCTTAAAAGCATGACTAAATATCCAAGCAGCAGCCCTGTAAGTTGCTTGGTGAAAAAAAAAAAAAAGCATGACTATTTGTATGCTTGGCTGGGTGTACCTAGCATATTTGACATTTAAGAAAATCATTTCAGCCGAAACCGGTTTGGCTCAGTGGATAGAGCCTCGGCCTGCGGACCCAAGGGTCCCAGGTTCGATTCCGATCAAGGGCATGTACCTGGGTTGCGGGCACATCCCCGGTAGCGGACGTGCAGGAGGCAGCTGGTCGATGTTTCTCTCTCATCGATGTTTCTAACTCTCTATCTCTCTCCCTTCCTCTCTGTAAAAAAATCAATAAAATATATTTTTAAAAAAAGAATATTATTTAAAAAAAAAGAAAATCATTTCAAACACTTCCCTCCTTTATACAACATTATTTTCAATAATAATCATATAACAAAATTAATAATAGTAATGACCATAAAAGAAACCCAGATATTAACAATTTTTTAAATCCTCACCTGAGGGTTTTTTTTCCATTGATTTTTTTAGAGAGAGTGGAAGGGAGGGGGAGAGACAGAGAGAGAGAGAAATATTGATGTGAGAGAAACACATTGATTGGCTGCCTCCTGCACTCGCCCCAACCGTGGATCCAGCCTACAATTGAGGTACGTGCCCTTGACCAGAGTCGAACCTGCAACCCTTTAGTCAATGGACTGACACTCTTACCACTGAGCCAAACTGGCTAGGGCAACAATTTTTTAAAAAATATATTTTATTGATTTTTTACAGAGAGGAAGGGAGAGAGATAGAGAGTTAGAAACATCGATGAGAGAGAAACATCGACCAGCTGCCTCCTGCACATCTCCCACTGGGGATGTGCCCGCAACCCAGGCACATGCCCTTGACCGGAATCGAACCTGGGACCCCTCAGTCCGCAGGCCGACGCTCTATCCACCGAGCCAAACCGGTTTCGGCAAGGGCAACAATTTTTTTGAACTGTAAAATACATGTAACATAAATTTATCATCTTAACCATTTTAAGTGGACACTTCAGTAGTGTTATGTATACTCACATTATTTTGTTGTACACTCAATTTCCAAAACGTTTGCTTCTTGAAAAATTGAAACTCTGGCCCTGGCAGGTGTGGCTCAGTTGGCTGAGCATCAAATCCTGTGCACCAAAATATTGCTGGTTTGATTCCTGGTCAGGACACATACCCAGGTTACAGTTTAATCCCCGGTCAGGGTGCGTGCAGGAGGCAACTGATCAATGTTTCTCTCTAATCTCTCTCTCTCTCTCTCTCTCTCTCTCTGTCTCTCTCTCTTTCTCCCTCTCCCTTCCCCTCTCTCTAAAATCAATAAAAGCATGTCCTTGGGTAAGGATTATTTTTTTAAATGACACTGAGCAGTTTGTTTTTAAGTTTAAAAATATTTATATTAACTTGGTAATACAGTATTTTGATTTGTCTTTCCTCTGGGTATGGGTTCTTTGATTGTAATTTTTTTTCCCCTCTAACATGTTACTGGACTGGACACCTTAAACTGCCCCACCTCCTGACTTCTCATCTCAGTAACAAAGCAACTGTCCACTTGTCACCGAAGCCAAAACACTCAGGTGCCTCCCTCCTTCTTATCCAGTCTGATGTAGTCTGGTCATTCCACCTCCTAAACCTCGCTCAAACAATGGCTCCTTTTCTCTAGCCCTCCATACACTACCTGACTCACTGAATGACTGGAATTCTGTATCCTCTTCTACAAAACATAATGTATGGTCTACAAATTTCAGTTTCAGATTTTCTGAAATTAGAGTAAGATTTTAAGCATTTAAGAAGTAATTTGTAGAATCCTATACTTTTTTCATAATTTTTTTCCACCTCTGTCATGTGCTTCAAAGAGGTTAATTTTTAAAATGAGGCAATTTAATACTTAACTGATATAGAAAGATCTCAAAATACATAGTAAATGAAAAAACAACAACAGATGTTGAATATTATGTATATTGTGTCCTTATTCAGTGTGGGGGAAAAAAGAATAAGTACAAAAGTGACTATGGTTGCTGCCTGATAATTTCTGGTTCTGTTTTGTTAGTTTTACAGAATGAGGATCAGTTTAAAGAACGAAGAAGCCAATATTGGGATTATCTTTGAATGGTCCATTTGGAAATAATATTATCTATTGAGCTATAGAAGGGTGGAAAGCTTTTATTCAGAACAAGTAAGTATACTAGAAATAAAATCTGTCTGGTTATATAGTATGCCACCAAATGATACTGAGTGAAAAATCAATTCATTCCTTTCCCTGATGAGTTATATGTGGAATTCCCAATAAATATTCTTTTGTGGGTTTGAGAATTCAGTTATAAACCTGGAAGCCCATGATAAAAGGCAGAAACACAGGTAGGGTAGGACTTACACAAAGAGCAATCAGGTGTGTTTTACAATTTTGGTCCTCCATCATCACCTATTAGCATATCCTCCCAGCCAGATAGCAGAGATCTGTACCTATCAAGTGCATTGTGAAGAAACATGGTGTTTCACATGGCAACCAAAATGTAATTCATATATATATATATTTCTCTCTATA